GTATTTAGGCCTATCCACATTTTGGGAGGCTGAGGCGGGAGGACTGTCTGAGCCCAGGAGTTTGAGACCAGCCTAGGCAACACAGTGAGACCTCACCTCTAGAAAACATTTTTAAAAACTACAGATGCACACGGTGGCATGCATCTGTAGTCCCAGCTACTTGGGAGGCTGAGGCAGAAGGATTGCCTGAACCCAGGAGTTCAAGGCTGCAGTGAGCCATGACTGTGCCACTACACTCCAGTCAGAGAGACAGAATGAGACCTCCACTCAAACAAACAAACAAAAAACAGTAACTACATCTGGGGTGGTTTTTAAGGTGAACTGAGTAGACACATACGGAGGGTTGAAGACTGCGCCTGGCATGCTGCTAGCACTCAGTACAACCTCCAGTCAGCAATGTGTGTCTGCCTTGGCTCCTGGCAGCATACACAGTAGTTGTGAAATCTGACAAAGCCTTTGTGCATGCCTCACGACAGCATAGTGATGATGAGACCGTCGTATCTACTTACAGGCAAGGAAACCAAGGCTCAGATCAGAGGACAAGGTCAGGGCAGAGCGGGACTTGAGCTCACATTCCCCTTGTTGTGCCACACTGCTTCTCTGATTCTGTCGTCTGTCCCCACCAAACACCATCGACCACCGTGAGGACCCCTCTACCAGAAGTCCCAGACTGGCCAGAGCTCTGGTTTATTCTGCTCTGAGCCACAGTGCTATAGCCATGGCTGGACCATCACCACACTACAGAGACCGAAGATATTAAGTCCTGTTGTCATGCCTCGATCCCTTGATGTTTAGACATGCTTAGCCACCTTTCTGTGATGGCTTCTTTCCCCTCATTTCCCCCCACACAGCTGACAATAATTGTGCTTGAGTACTTGGCTGATCACAGCACCTCCCTGCTCTAAAACCTTCAATAGCTCTCTACTGCTCAGGACCAAATCGATTCACATAGGGAGCACAAATCCAAATTCAGCAAATTCCCAGGGGTATTATCCTCACCCTGCCCCTGGTACGCCTGGGCCAGTTTCCTTGCGGGTCTCTGGACCACCGCCATCTTCTGTAAAGAGCACTCAGATGGGGGAACTCAGAACCACTGGTGCCAAACAGTTCCAGAGCAGTCACAGGTGGGAGAGAACTGAGACCCAAATGATCAAAATCCCACAGCCAACAGCAGACCTGAGCTCTAAGTCCAAGCCTCTTCACACCTTGAGAACCACTCTGAACGGCAAATAGTCTTTGCTGTAGTTTCAAATCACTGGCTGACCTGACCCTGAACATCCAAGCCCAGTTAAGCCATCTGAGGTGTCCCGATGGTCCAACCATTCCTGGGTCCTGGCACTTCCTCCTGCGGCGCCTCATTCAAGTGACATCTAAGCCTTTTATAAAGACGCCACCTCCCATCTCCCACCACTCTCCCCATCGCCTTCTGCATCCACCCATGCCTGCCTCCCTGCCTCCCACAAGTCCCACAAGGGCCTCCAGCCTCCGGACACGGGGCCTTGTCCCTGCGGTTCCCTCTGCCTGGAATGTTCTTCCCCCTGAGGATGTCTGATCATCATTCAAGTTTCACTCAAGTTCATCTCCTCAGAGAAGCCTTCCCTGACCACCCTGTCTCCGATGTTCCTTCCACCAGGCACTTTTGTTTTTCATTGAGCAGTTCTTTTTTTATTCTTTTTTGTAAACTAGAATGATCGTGTTTGCTTATGAGTTTGCTTAGGATCTGGCCCTTCCCAGCAGCAGAATGGCTCTGCCAGGGCAGGGACCTTGTCTGACCAGTCATCACCATATTCCCCAGCTCAGAGAGCAGCACCCTGCATAGTGGACACTTAATACGTGTTTACTAAAGTAATGCATGCAACGTGGAGACAATGCTTCTCTTTGGCTGTGCCCTATACCTGATATGCTCACCCCCATTTGACAGGCAGGGAAAAGTGAGGCCCAAATACAAGGGGGACCTACAAAACCCCAGAATTTATGTATAAAAGATTGTGTATTTATTCTTCCGTGTTTAAACTCCAGTCCCCCTCAAAGTACCCTCCGTCTGATGCAATACACCTATCGAGATGCTTTTCCTACTGCTCAAAACAGTTTTTGAACTCGTCAATTTTCGATGCCTTTTAGTGCTTCTGCTGTTTTTTGTTTCACCTCTTCCACATCAGCAAAACGTTTCCCTTTGAGGACTTTTTACATTCGGGGAAACAAAAAAAAAAGATGCTGAGGGAAAGATTGGGTGAATAGGGAGGGTAGGGCATGGAGTCATGCGGTCTGTGGCCAAAAACTGCTGAAAGTTCAGTACAGTGTGGACAGGTGTGTTGTTATGGTGGAAGAACCAGTTACCTGTTTGCCACATCTTGGAATGTTTTTTCTGTAAGTCGTGATGCAATTTTCTCAAAACTTCCAGATAAAAACTTTGGTTGGCCAGGCTCGGTGGCTTAGCCTGTAATCCTAGCACTTTGGGAGGCTGAGACGAGTGGATTGCCTGAGCCTGCAGGTTCAAGACCAGCCCAGGAAACTTGGCAAGACCTCGTCTCTACAATAAATCAAAAATTAGCCAGGCGTGGTAGCACGCGCCTATAGTTCCTGCTGCTTGGAAGGCTGAGGCAGAAGGATCGCCGGAGCCCAGCAGGTCAACGCTGGGGTGACTGTGAGTGTGCTACTGCACTCCAGCCTGGGCAACAGAGTGAGACCTCTAACTCAACAACGACAACAACAAAAAATCTTTAGTTGACCATTTGATCTGGAGGGACAAATTCCAAGTATAGTACAAGGGGCCCACCTACCAAAAGATAATTCTGGGATTTTTCTGGGGGGTCCCCCTCATACATGAAGGATTTCCAGACTTGGGTTGGAACAAAGGTCTCACCCCTCTTTGCGGGCTCAGCTGGTCAGGAAGAGCTGCTGCTGACACTTCCCCAAAGAACCCCAACAACAAGGCTGTCGTCTATTAGCGAGAATTCTTTCCATGCCTCCCACAGAGGGAAACCCTGATTTTATGAAGGTAAAATCACATTGTGATTAACACTTAATCAGGATCTCGTCTACATTATAGCTCCGCAAATTTGAAAAAAACGTATAGTTGGGGGTCTTAATATCATGCTACTGATGTTACCAATAAGTGTGTTCTTGACACAATTTTCTTATTAGGGCCCTTCCCTGTAAATTTTATTGCATTTAATTAAAAATTATTGCTAAAAGAAACAGCAGCAGATGGTCTTATTTTAAGTCAGAAAATTAAAAACTGAGTATTCTCATCAGTCAATTTCAACGAGAAGCACAGCCGCATACATTAGGATGTGATGATTTTGGGATTATAATAATTTTTATGGCATTTCTAGGTCCTTTCGACAAAACTTAATGAAAGCTCTGCATGAGTTCATTTGTCAAAACCTAATAATAACAGGAAGGCTCCTGGGTGACAGATAGATACAGAGATACCAACGAACACTGCGGCTAGGACATGCCCGAAATCCAGCCATGTGGCTCTTGGCTCCAGCCCTGTTCTCAGCAGAAGGCTTGGTGGCAACCCTGCTGTATCCACCAAGGATTTACAGTGGTGGCTGTAAGTCACCTTTCTTTTGCAATGATGTTATTTGTTGCTGCAGCACTGCCTACAGTAGTTTTAAAAAAGAGTCAGGTTTCTCTCTCTCAGGGAATCACTTCAGTAAAACATCTACCACGGTTTAAGGATGAGGGGGGCACACTGGCAGGTGGGGAGAATGGGGAGGCTCTCATGCTGGATTCTGTGCTGGCTCTTTCAGAGTTGTTTTATTTATTTATTTTTTTTAAGTTGGAGTCTCACTCTGTTGCCCGAACTGGAGTGCAGTGGCCGCTCCCGGCCACCGCAGCCTTGACCTGCTGGGCTCCGGCGATCCTTCAGCCTCAGCCTTCTGAGTAGCCGGAATTACAGGTGCACGCTACCACGCCCGGCTGATTTTTTGATTTTATTGTAGAGATGAGGTCTCGCCTGCCCAGGCAGGTCTCGAACCCGCGGGCTCAGGCAATCCACTCACCTCAGCCTCCCAAAGGCGCGGGATTACAGGCTGAGCCACCGAGCCTAGCTTCTTTCAGAGTTTTAACTGCAGTTGCTGTCCGTGGTCTAGAATGCCCACACCATTACCTGCCCCAACGTTACTACCTGTCTCGTCTGCTTTGACTTTTATTTTAAAGACCCAATTCTTACTATTTCTTGCTACTCCTTTTACTGGAAACTACTTCAAGAATCTTGCATTTATCTGGGACCAGACAGACTGTAAAAGACAAAGAGGATGAGAGGAGAAATGCAAAAGCAAACACACTCTGGAGTCCATCTACGCTGGAGAACGAGCCGCGGTGCATGTCCTGGAGGCAGAACCCCACTCCACCTCCCCCTGCGGCTGCAGCCCTCGCTTGGTTGTCCTCATCCGACAGGACCACTGCCATGGCCTCCTAACTAATCTCCTTGCTCCCCATCTCGCCACCCCTCCAACCTCCTCCCTGCCAACCACGTATCCACATCCATGCACAATGTTCATCACAGAACTCCCCTGTTGAAAAATCACCATGAGGCGTGGTGTGGTGGCTCACACCTGCAATCCCAGCACTTGGCAAGGCTGAGGCAGGAGGATTGCTTAAGCTCAGGAGTTCGAGACCAGCCTAGGCAACATAGCGAGACCTCGACTCTACACAAAATTAAAAAATTAGCCAGGTGTGGTGGTGCACACCTATAGTCCCAGCTACTTGGGAGGCTGGGCCAGGAGGACCCCCTGAGTCTTGACCCTGAGGTCAAGGCTGTGGTGAGTCATGAGCATGCCACTGCACTCCACCCTGGGCAACAGAGTGAACCCCAACTAAAAAACAAACAGGGGAACAAAGAAAGAAGGAACCATGAGCACCCCCTGCCCAGGGGATGACATACAGGTCCATGGAGCTGACACACAAGGTGCTCTCTGTTGGGCCCGGCCGCCTTCCCAACTCTAGCTTACAACCACACCTGCTCAGCCCCGTCCCCCAGGTCCTCTCACCTCCAGAGCCCTGCACAGGCATTTTCTCCTCCTGGTCTGTCCTCATCCTGAACCCCTGCTCCCCTATCAAGATTCGCCTCCCACGGCCTGCAGGTAGTGAAGGCTCCCCGCTGCAGTCTAGATCACGACCAGCCGAGCTCTCACGACCACTCTGCCTATCTTTCTCCTCAGCCAGTCTGAAAGTGACTGAGCACAGGGACCGCCACACCTCTACACGCTAGAACAGCAGCTGATAGTCACAGATGCTCAAAGAACGCCAGCAGAGTGCATGGGTGTGTTAGTTGGGCCACACAGGAGTCTAGGGTAAAAGTGGGAAATTAGAAAGAGATGGCATCTGAGTTCAGTTCTTACACCTGTCAACTCAATCTCCTCCATGCCCGCAGATGATGTGACCTGTTTTCCAGAATAAAGGAGTCAATGTACCTTCTGGAAAAAGATGGCGTCATCTTCACCGGAGTCACATTTCTCACGTTTTTCATTTTTATCTTCCCTCCACATCAAAGCCGACTATTCCTGCAGTATCCACTCAAGAGCCACCTTGTTCAGGATGCCCTTCCACCTGCCTCTGGACTGCTACTCTTTGGATCCTAAGGCTTTTCCACTGTGCATTTTAGTGACTTGGGTCTAAGGCCCTTCCAGCCCCCAGATTTTCAGTCCATGGAGGCTAGTGGTGGTACCTGGTCTACCTCTCTCTCCTTCTGAGGCAGGCATAGCTAGCACAGTTTAGAAGCAGTCAGGCAAGTCTAACTTAGAGCAGGGTAAGTGTTCAGACATTTTTCTTATCTGTACCCAACCTTCACCTGACTGACCAGGTATATCAGATCTGACCACCTTGTGGGTTGAAATGTGAAACTACCAGTGCAGTAAATGGCAGAAACAATAGGAATTACCCCAAACACAGATATGACATTCTAAGAAAAGGCCAAATCTAGTTAGCAACTTTCCTTATTTAGAAGACCCTTGTGACCTTAGAAGTTTCAGAGATGGTTTCATGACTAAATACCCGTAGCCCACCACTATTAGCTCATGGTTTGCTTAATAATCATTGTAAAAGTATATAAAGTTTCTTGTCAAAAGCAAGCACGTCCTCTCTCTTTTTTTTTTTTTAGTTGGAGTCTCACTCTGTCACCCAGGTTGGAGTGCAGTGGCACACTCACCACCAACCCAGCATCAACCTGCCGGGCTCCAGAGATGCTTCCGCCTCAGCCTTCCAATTAGCTAGAATCACAGGCACATACTACCATACCTGGCTAATTTTTAAAAATTTATTGTAGAGACAAGGTCCTACCAAATTGCCCAGGCTGGTCTCAAACCTGCAAACTCAGGCAATCCACTAGCCTCAGCCTCCCAAAGTGCTGAGCCACCGAGCCCAGCCAACATGTGCCCTCTCTTAAGGCCACCCATGCTCTTTCTTGAGTATGCCTCTTTCTTTGTAATAAACTCTTAAACTATTCTTTAGACTTGCTCTGAAATTCTTTTCTGTGGCAAAGTCGAAGAACCCATGGAGCAACACACAGCACCCCACCCAGGCATCGTTCCACACATCACTCGGCACAACTCCTCACCCAGAAAAACTCATTTCTCACATGATATCATCAGTTAGCCGAAACACTCACCCTCGCTCGCACCCCGTTCTCATACACACACTGTGTAATGTGGACAAACCACAGACTCCTGTTCATGTCATCAAGCTGCATCCCTATAAGACACAGCTCTGTGACCACCTGGACTGGCCAGAGAGAACCCTGAAGTGTGGGCCCTCAGATCATCCACTGCTCTCTCTACTGGGCACACGCACTGGCGAGCTAGTGCTCCCGGGTAGGCCGAACCATCTGAGGTTCCCTAATGAGCAGTGATCCTAAATAGCTGGCATGCTCCAAAGCAGGAGCTCTGGGCTGCTCCAGGCACAGCTGGCCACAGGAGGGCAGAGGTCCCCACTGTGGCCCAGAAGAAAAGAAAGGCGCCCGACACTCATTATCCATTCTAGGAAAGCGCATATCATGGATGAGCTGCAAGCAGAGCAACAAACCCACCAAACACCAGAAAAGAAAGGAGGGCATCCTTCCACGCTTCCTTGAGGTCCTGGACCAGTAAGCAAGCGTCTTGGGATGGCTGTGCTACCCTGTCTCCTACAAGGAAGATGCTGGCCAGCCATTGGATGAAGAACACCAGAGGACGTGGCACGTCTTGACCTGGGAAAACAGGGAGTAGCAGGAGCAGCACAGGGCTGAGAGTCAGAAGGTCTGGGCTCCAACCTTGGTTCGGCCACTTGCTAACTGTGTGACAGAAGGCAGTTCATACCACTTCACTGGGCCTCAGTCTTCTCCTCTGGAAAATGGGGACTGGAAATTCCTACCTAAGCAGCTACAAGTTATAAGTGAAATAACAGCTGCAGTCATAATCATAGAGATAGGCATTTTTATTATGATTTCGGAATCACAAAACCCCTGGCCCTGCTGTCCTTGGTGTATGAGGTGGCTAATGACTCTAAATCAATCCTGCCGGGCTGTTGTCTGCAGCCCTGAATCCACCTCTTGGGGGAGTCCGAGGTAAGGCTAATGCTACATCCATGGCCAAAGCTTGCAAAGTCACAACCCCGGTTTTACCAATGTGATGTGATCCCCTCAACACTTGAGTCAAGCACATGCAGGACGGTCGTGTGTGTGTGGGGGGGGCAGACATCTCTCGCAGTGAAAGGAACCAGATTCTCCCCCTCAAATTCCACACTTTTGGTATCAAATTCAACTCCTGCATCCATCACAATGTTACCTTGATTGTGTCCCTTAATAACAGCTAATGCTTACTGATAACTTTACTACATATTGCATTAGCTCATTGAGTCTGAATGACATCCCAAGGCACGTACAATGATCAACCCCTTCTAGGAGTACAGATAAAGATACTGAGGCACACAGAGGTCAGTAACTTATCCTGGGTCACACAGACAATCAGTGGTGGACTGTAGGCAGAAACCCAGGCGGCTCGGCTCAAAGGCCTACGTGCTTAGCCTCAGTGCTCTCACAGGCTCTCCTTAGGCCACGGTGCCCTCATCTATAAACATAAAAAGCCACCATAAATGAATGGAGAAATGAGAAAATGCCAGTACAGCAGCATGTGACTGCTGGGCGCATGGACACCATCTGTAAAACTCTTCTAACTTAACAGTAAGTTTGGCTGTTTTCAAAAGCAAGTGCCAGGGGGCCGTGGACTCACTCAGGGATATGTGCTAATGTGCAGTGCCAACTGATTAACGCAGACTCACCATCATGCAAAACATAAACCGACATATGATGACAGGGATTCAGATGAGACAAACCAGTGTGTGCAGCATTTTACATAAAACGTCTATTTAATAAGTGTATACAAAGCACCCAGCACTGTGTTGCTGAAACAGGAACTTGATCGGTGACAGTTCTTTCTTCTTGTGGTGCTCAAAATCACCAACTCAGCCACATGCATTTATTAAGCTTCTAGTGTGTACCCAGCATATTGGGTGCTGTGGAGTACTCAGAAGGAAAGACCAGGTTTCCCTAGCCAAGACTACTGACTGTCTTAGGACAGAAGACATCCTACTTGGAAAGTAAGGGTGCTGGACTAGATCTCTGCTGATATATATATACATATGTATATATATTTTTTTGCTTGAGGGTCAATTCAGGAATAAAAGAAGGTTTTGGAGACGTATTTTAAACTAAAGGATGGCAAAATCTTTTTTGTATACCACAGAAAAAATTTACATAGGTAACAATGTACACATTTTATTTTATGAAATCAAAGATCGTTGCTGGACACTGTGGCTCACGCCTATAATTCCCAGCACTTTGGGAAGCAAGAGGATTGCCTGAGCCTATGGGTTCAAAACCAGCCTGCGCAACTTGGTGAGACCTCATCTCTATAATAAATCAAAAACTTAGCTGTGTATGGTGGCGTGTACCTGTAGTTCCTGCTACTTGGAAGGCTGAGGTGGAAGGATCACCTGAGCCCAGCAGGTCGAGGATGGGGTAGCCGTGAGTGTGCCACTGCTCTCCAGTCTGGGCAACACAGTGAGACTCCAACTCAAAAAAAAAAAAAACACATACACACATAAATAAATAAATAAATAAATTTTAATAATATCATTGCAGCTACTAAGATGCTACTGTCTGTGTCTACACATCTCAAGGAGTAACTGAATAGAAGAAACTTCACAATCATCCATTAGAATCTGAGTTGCTGCTCACCCAGCGTAGGGGTCTCCAAGGGCTCTCTGAATCCTATTATACACTCTGTGTTTCCTGGAGGGAGGTACGCTTAGTGAAAAAGGACTTGCATTTAAATAGCACCAAATCACACCATGAGAACTACTTCCTTCTCAGGCCCTTTGGAGCCTTCTGATTACACCAAGTAGAAAGTCTCAGCCGGGCTCGGTGGCTCAGTCTGTAATCCTGCGCCTTGGGAGGCTGAGGTGAGTGGAT